GGCTGGTCCCAGCTGTCGTTTTCCACTCTGCCTCACCCCTGAGGCACCCCTTGCCCTCCCACTGCTGACCCAGCCTGAACTCCATCTCTAGGTAAATCCCCCACCCCTACCTCACATTGTCTTCCTTCCAGGAACCTTCCAAAGCAGACATGGTGGTGTACATACCTGTGATCCCAGAACTCAAGAGGCTGAGGTGGAAGACTCCAGAGCTTGAGGCCAGTCTGGGCTACATAGTGAGAATGAGGGTGGGGGAGAAGCTTCTAGTTGTTTCGTGAAGTCCACTGGTTGGAGCTGTGTGCTGATTCACAGACCAGCATGCACACTCAGGCACATACCCAACATCTAACATCTCTGAAACCCTGGCTTCTGAGTGACCTGCTGACTCCAGCGGCCCACCCCCTATACTCTCCAGCCACCCCAGAAAGCTTCCAGAGCCTCCCCCACTTCCCAAGGGAAACCGAGGCCCAGAAAGGTCAAGAAGCTTCCTTTCGGCTGCAGATACAAGTGAATAGAGCAGGACTCATGCCGAGGACCAACCCCCACCCTCCCACTGAGATCTCAAGGCCCAGAGGAGGCAGTGATTTCATGACTCTTGGGATGGCAAAGGCTGCTGTGGGTCACAGTAACACAAACAAGAAAACACCAGTGCCCTGGTCAGCGTACTGACTCCCTTTCTGAATGCTGGCCGTTTACTTAGAGCAGGCACTGTTTCAACAGCTCAGCGTCCCTATCTGCAAGGTCGCTGAGAGAGAACAACAGTCACTAGGGCCCAAAGCCAGAAGCCCTCCCCCGGGGGCCCTCCGCCAGGGGCCTACCAGGCTCTTCATGGAAGCCTCAGGAATGAGGAACTCATTACAATACAGTATCTATTCAGAGACATTCATCTTTTCAGTGAACGTTGGTTGAGGGCCTACTATGTGCCAGACTGAGTCCTAAGCACTTGCGTAGTACAGAGAACTCATATGCATGTCATTATTCTGGGGAGCTATGTTCTGGTGGATAGGAACAGCAAACTCCTGCACAACTTACCTAGTTGAGAGGCAGGTAAGTGCCATGAAGACACTTAATCAAGCAAGGGGGAGCTGGAAATGCAGTTTAGAAAAGGAGCACAGTGGTGCAGTCTTGTAATTCCAGCACTCAAGAGGAGGAGTAGGCTGGAGCATCAAGACTTCAAGGTCATCCTCTGCTACATAGGGAGTATGAGGCTAACCTGAACTATAAGAGACCCTCTCTCTCTCTCTCTCTCTCTCTCTCTCTCTCTCTCTCTCACACACACACACACACACACACACACACACACTAGTTAAGAAAAGGGAGGCAGGAGAGCAAGTGATTGGTGAGGTGGGAAAGAATGAATGCTCAGGGGAGGTACCCCGATGGAAGATGGGAAAGATGCCTAAAAACTATATTAGGGGAAAGAGCTCCAGGCCAAAGGAATGGCCCAGAGAGACCCAAAACAGAAAGAGCTCAGCATATTCATGGAGCAGAGAGAGTGATTTAGAGGATCTGGGGTCTTGATTTTGCCATACTAGCTCCTCACCCTGGGAGGCAGAGGGGACATGCAACCTCTTCCCACCCCTTCCTCATGTTTCTTAGGATCCAGCACCCATCTGGTGGCCTCTGCTCCCAGGCTGCCTCCAGAGGCTCCAGATGGTCAGCTGTGAAGAGGGCGAGGGGGCAAATGGGACTGACTAAATGCCACTTAGCATCCTCCAGGGGGGTTGTGGGGATGTATGGTGAGGGCAGGGTCAGTGCTCTGACCCTCCACCCTGCCTACTGCACCCTGTCTGCATATGGAGTACTCAGTCCACTGACCCACTGCAGCTTCTCCAAGTCAGAGTGACAAGCATGGCCCATCCCCACCGGAGCCCCAGTATTCACATGCCCCGCACATCCCCACCAACACCCAGCAGAGCTGAGACTGCTCCCCACTGTCTCCCCACTTAGGGCTGCAGCTGATAGCCTGTTGATGATGTCACCTCTGCAATTTCAGAGGTAGAACTAGAGGCTCCAAGTGGGGAGCCATTTGCACAAGGAGAGGCCTTGGCCTCGAGCCTGAAGCCACTGTCAGCTTGCCAGCTTTCTGCAGCTCCCAGAGCTGTGTACTGGCTGCAGTGCCCTGACTTGTGCTGCAAGAGTGCTTTCCAGATCTCCACAAACACCTTCCCGAGCCCCATCTTTGACCCCTGCTCTCCTCTACCCCAGGGCTTGCCAAGGCTTCTTGCACGGAGCAATGTGTCCAGCAGGGATCAAGTGGCAGGGACCTGTGGTCCCCTGAGAATGGAGGGAGGCAGCCTGGTGGAGAAAGCATGGGCTGCTCTGAGAGCCAGAGACCACTGGTACCCCTGGCAGGTCCTATGAGCTGCACAGGAGAAGCCAGTGAGGCAGTGAGAGCAAGTACCCCTCATCCCACTGCCTACCTCGAGGCCCTTGCTGGGCCCCAAGCCAAGCACCTTAGTTTTTGTTTTGCTTTTTTGTTAGTTTGTTTTTCAGTCAGTATCTCTGTGTAGCCCAGGCTGGCCTCAAACTTGCCATCCTCTTGCTTCCACCTCCCAAGTGCTGGGGCTACAAGCCTGTGCCACCATACCAGGCTCAATCACCACAGCTTTTCTTTTTCCATTTTTGTATGAGTGGGGGGCCACATTTTGGGTGGGGTGCATGTGCACATTTGTGCTCATTCATGTGAAGGTCCAAGGTTGATGTTAGGAACCTTGATCACTCTTCCACCTTAGTCATTGAAGCAGGGCCTCTTAATCAAACCCAGAGCTCACCAATATGGCTAGTCTGGCAAGCCAGCTTACTCTAGGGATCCCGTCTCTACCTCCCAAGGCTGGAATTGCAGACAGGCTGCCCTGCCCACCCAGGATTTGCACGGGTTCTGGAGATTCAAACGGCAAGCTCTTTAACCTCTGGGCCATCTACCCAGGTCCCTAAACCTTAGCTTTTGAATTAGGAAGTTAAAGTGCAGATTTAAAATAGGTTAGAGACACTGGAGCCAGGAGAGCAGGGCACTAGAACTTCACTGTTTTGTGAAGAATCAGGTGTGGATATTGGTGACTCTGGCAAGGTCTGATCAACACTGATAAAATGATGAATATGTGTGAACTGCATGGAATGCCAAGTACTGACTGGGGTCTCCTCTTTGAGACAGAGGGGGTCTGCAGTCATTCACCATAGATCACTTAGAACCGGCTAAAGGCATAATTGAGGCGAGGCTCTGAAAATAACAGTCTCCCACACAAGAGATGAGAGGATCCCTCTGCGAAGCACAAAGCTTGAGGAAATTCACAGAGGTTGAGGGTGCAACCTGGAGGGCTTCCTGAAGAAGGTGGCATTGCAGCTGGACCTGGGAGGAAGATTCTGGCTTGTATAAGGAGAGAATAGGATGCAAGGGCAAAACATGAGCAGAGGAGGATGACAGTGAGTGGGGCTTGGGACGAAGCCTAGGGACAAGAGGCCCCTGGGGCCACAAGTCAAGGACCCTGAATGTCACAGTCAGATGCCAGAATCTGGATCCATAGAGGATTTTACTGTAAGAGCAGGCAAGAGAAACTCCAATAAGACCTACACACATTTGTATCATGCCACACAATTACTACTGTTTTCTTATGTGATTCTCAAATACAAATGACAAAGAGCACCCTAGAGATCAACATTATCACCACCTTGATTTTCAAATTGAAAGAATGAATATGGCTAGTCTGACAAGCCCGCTTGCTCTGAGGATCTCCTGCCTCCACCTCCCAAGGCTGGAATTACAGGTAGAGGCATAGAAGCATCTCTAACCACAGGCCTCCATCCAGGGTCCTTCCTTGTCACAGGTCTTGAGCAGGGAATGGAGGTCCCACCTGCACCCAGAAGGGCCACTGCAGCTCCTGTTGGTGAGGGGAAGGCTGGGAGGCAGAGGAGGTAGGGAGGACTCTATTGGGCATCTTTAGGTCATTATTACCATGGGATGAGACCAGAACTAGACATAGGGGACAGAGGACAGCCCAGACACAGCCATGAGACAGGGAACAGCTCAAAACACAGCTGTGAGTCAAGAGACAGAATCTCTAGAACTTGGCCACTTACTGAGTGGGCTGGGGAGGGGCCCACATTTAGGATTAGAAGACTGAGGACAAAATCCCCTATTAAGTAGTGTGCAGTTAAAGGGAATCAGGACAGGGAATACCTTGGATCCTATTCATCTGAGACAGGTGGTGCAGCAAAGGGCTGGGGTTTGAGAGTCAAGTGGCCCCAGGTTTGAATTTTGCTTCTGGCCTTTGCCTGTGAACTTTGAGTGACTTAAGTGCCCAGAGCCTTCGATCCTTCACCTGTAAGATGCAAGTGGTTGAGTGTTTAGAGATCACAACTCCCACTCCAAGGATTGATCTGGGGATCAAACACTCTAAAACTTGCCAAGAGCTGAATGCCAGCCCAGCTTGCAGTGACAGAGATCGACATGCCAGAGCCTGAGCTGTGCGCTTTGTGCACAAGTTTAGCAGACCCTCGAAACCACACTTTGAGGAAGCAATAGTTTATCCTCATTTTTCAGGTGGTTTTGGGGGCTCTGTGTGTGTGTGTGTGTGTGTGTGTGTGTGTGTGTGTGTGTATCACAGCCTGTATGTGTGGATCAGAACAACTTGCAGGAGTCAGTTTTCTCCTTCCGCTATGAAGGTCCTGGGGATCAAACTCAGGTCTTTAGGTTTGGTGGCAAGCACCTTTCCCTTATGAGCCATCCCACCTCACTCACTTATTGTGCAAGTTTTGAGGACACCCAAGGATAAAACCTCACTGAAGCATCACTGGCCCCCTAGGTTACAAAGGAAGAAATGAATCAAGGGAGAGAGAATGATTCACACACAGTGGTGCTAGGCTTGGTACTCACCAAAGCCTGTGGACCAAGTGGGGCCAGAACCCCTGGCTCTCTGCAGTAGGTGGGATGGATGGGGGAATCCCCTGGGGGTCCTCAGAGCCCTCTACTGACCACTCCAGGCCTCTGTGCATTCTGTCTCCAGCCTCCAGCCGCTCCCACCCGGCCAGCCCCAGCCCCCCAGGACCTCAGGCCAGCCCAGTGCTGCCGGTCAGCTATCGCCTGTCACACACAAGGCTGGCCTTCTTCCTGCGGGAGACTCGGCCACCAACACCCACGGTGGCCAACGGTTCCCTGCAGCGCTCCGAGCCCTTCGTGGTGTTCCAGACCAAGGAGCTACCTGTCCTCAACGTGTCCCTGGGGCCCTTCAGCACCAGCCAGGTGGTAGCGCGGGAGCTGCTGCAGCCGTCCAGCACCCTGGACATCCCCGAGCGCCTGACGGTCAACTGGAAGGTGCGCGCCTTCATCGTGCGCGCCCGCGTGCCCGCCTCGCAGCCAGTGGCTCAGGTGCTCTTCTACGTGGCCGGCCGGGACTGGGACGACTTCGGTGTCACGGAGCGGCTGCCCTGCGTCCGCCTGCACGCCTTCCGCGACGCGCGCGAGGTGCGGAGCTCGTGCCGCCTGGCCGGGGGTCTGGCCACCTGCCTGGTGCGCGCCGAGCTGCCCTTGGCCTGGTTCGGACCCCCGGCCCCGGCCGCACCCCCGAATGTCCGCCGCAAGTCCCCGGATGGACTGGAACCCGAGGCAGGCACGGAGAGCCAGCAGGCCGAGCTCTACTACACGCTGCACGCCCCCGACGCGGCGGGTGGCTGCGGGACCGCGCGGCGCGGCCCCGGGCCCGGAGCGGCCGCGCGCGCAGAGAGCCCCACTCAGCACCCGCTGCTGCGCATAGGCAGCATCAGCCTATTCCGGCCACCGCCGCGCAGGGCCTTGCAAGAGCACCGGCTAGACAGCAACCTGATGATCCGCCTGCCAGACAGGCCGCTCAAGCCAGGAGAGGTGCTCAGCATCCTCCTCTACCTGGCGCCCAACTCCTCCTCGGCCACCAGCCCCAGCGTAGAGCACTTCACACTCAGGTAAAGGCGCTGGGGGCCGGGAAGGGCTCCCCTGCCTAGGTCAAGTGCAGCCCTGTCCCTGCACCTGTCCCAGCCCTCTCGTTCCAGCTCCCCTACCAATCACCCTATCACTGGAGCAACGTGCACCACACCGCACCGGTTTGTCCTTACCGCCTAATGCAATCACGATTTCTTTTCCTAAAGTTACAATTTTTATTTATTATTTATTTTTGTGTGGGTGTCAGGTGTGCACAGCACTACCTAGTTGTGGAGGTCAGAGGACAACTTTAAGGAATTAGTTCTCTTCTTCCACCATGTGGATCTCAAAGATTCAACTCAAGTCAGGCCTGACTTGCAAGTGCCTCTCTACCCACAGAGCTATCTCCCTGGTCCCCAACCTCTGTATCTCCCAAGTCTCTCCCACGGTCTCTCCAGCTCATAGAAATGAGCCGCGATAGAGGGAAATGTGAACCTTTACAATCATGGCGGCAGAAAGACAGGATCTGGGCTGGGAGGACCCCTAGGCAAGCTGGTACCTCTCACCCATTTCCTAGATAAGAGCACCGGAACATGGAGACCTGAGATCAGCTGTGGGTTGCTGGGCTAGTGGAGAGCAGGAGTGTGTGCCTGCTGGGACACTGGCTCCCATCCTAGAGTTGGGTGTCCTGGCCCTTTCAATACTTTGAAGATAATTCATGCATTGATATATTCCTTGATCACATCCTTTCCCCACATGACATCATATTTCTCAGTGGGAATGCATGCTTTGAGTCAGGTAGGGGATTCTGAGGACATAAAAAGGTCTCACCAAAATACTGTCATACGCAGGCAAGTGCACCCTTGACCACCCACCTTCTTTTTTCGGAGGGGGGGGTCTTTTTTTGAGACAGGGTCTCCCTGTAACCTCAGCTGGCCTGGAACTCACTATGTAGACCAGGCTGGCCTCGAACCCACGAAGATCTGCCTGCCTCTGCCTCCCAAGTGCTGGGATTAAAGACGTGCGCCACCACGCCCGACTGACCTCCCACCTTCTTTAAGTACTTCCTCTCAAGCACGTCTTTCACCAATTCCTGGAAAGTGTCATTCCTAAGTCAGTGATTGAAACTCGAACATGAATGTGAGTTTTACCAGCTATCTAGGGCTGCATTAACAGTAGCATCAGCATCTGTTTTAGTTGGTGCTAGAGCACAGCTTAGCTGTACTTAGATCACGTGTGTCCAGAGGAGGTTGATGAGGCTGTGAGATGATCTGAAACTGTGGCAGAATCAACAGGAGAGGCTGGAGAAGTAAAGACTTAGAGACACCTCCACCTCTTGCTGGTTGAAGAGTTGTCACAGTGACGACAGATAGGGGGGTGTTTTGTCTTGCCCCAGCAGAACTCCAGACTGCTGTGCTCAGGTCAGTAAAAGGAAGAGATGCTGGGGCAGGGGTGTGGTGCAGCTGTTTGAGTGCTCACCTAGCATGCGTGAAGCCCTGAGTTTGATCCCCAGCATCACAGAAACTGGGTATGGTGATATACACACAAAATCCTAAGGCTTTTGTGGACAAGAGGGAATCAGAAATCCAAGGTCATTCCTGGCTATTTATTGAGTTGTAAATCAGCCTGGGCTACATAAAACCCTGTCTTTAAAAAAAGAAAAGGAAGAGGGTCTGAGTCCTTATGGGCCATCGAGGGTGGAGGGTATGCAGAGGTTATATCACTAAGGTATGAAGAAACTGGGTAGAGGCTAGGCAAGGACAAAGTATAAAAAATGCAGATGGTAATATCAGAAGTTTGAGCCTTGGGGAGCCAGATCCCCGAAACACTAAATGTAGGCCCTGGAGTAACAACCTACCCACTTCCCCTACCACCAGCTCCAGCGCAGGGCCAGTGACTAGGTGAACAGATTTGAGATCCCAGCCTGACCCTCTGCCTCTTCTTCCTCCCTCTTGTCTCAGGGTAAAGGCCAAGAAGGGTGTGACCCTCCTAGGCACCAAGTCTCGGAGTGGCCAATGGCATGTGACCTCAGAGCTGCTGACTGGGGCAAAGCACTCAACAGCCACTGTGGATGTGGCCTGGGCCCAGGGCACACCCCTGCCCCCCTGGTGAGTCACACCTCTGTAAGGCAGGCACCTGTGGGCTGGGGGACTGTCTGTGGAGAAAGATGGAGTTGAAGAAGGCTGGACTCAGTTGCTGGAGATCTGAAGTGGGACTCCCTGGTTTGGGGTTCTCTGGTGGGTTGAGGAGGCTCTGAGGAAAGCAGCTGCTCAAGAGAGGTGTGTCCCTGCCGGGGCTGTAGAGCTCTGCCCTCCATCCTCTGCTTCCTCCCTTCCTGCCCCACCCTGCAGGGAGGGCCAGGGCCCCCTGGAGATCCTACAACTGGACTTTGAGATGGAGAACTTCACCAGCCAGTCTGTGAAGCGGAGGATCATGTGGCACATCGACTACCGAGGCCACGGTGCCCTGCCTGACCTGGAGAGAGCCGTCACTGAGCTGACGGTCATCCAGCGGGACGTGCAGGCCATCCTGCCCCTGGCCATGGTGAGTGGGCCTCAACTGGCTCCCAGGTCCATGAGTGTGCATGTGTGCTGTGGGACTGGGCAGGGCTGAGCATATGTACATATGGATGGGGGTGGCGTTGTGGGCAGACCACTTCTTCTGAGACAAGGTGATCTAAGGACCTGGGCATGTGCAAGTACAGCACTGCTCCTGGTGAAGTCACCATGGGAGAAGCCTCTGGAGAAGGGCTACTTAGAGGGGCTCTCCTGGGAGAAGTGGTTATGCCCTTGCATTGTTGGAGGTCATGAGAGAGGAGGCACTCACCCCCATCTGAGATGAGGAGAGGAGCATGCTCCAGAAGGGACCCAGCACAGGGGAGGGGATGTGGGTGGTTGGTTAGAAGGGGTGGTGGGTTGTAGACAGCTGGCAGAATAGTTTGCAACCCTCCCAGAGTACCTTGACCAGCCAGGAGGATGTCTGAGACCCCTGATCAGGGGTCTGGGGAAGCAGTGTTCCCTGGAAGTGGGGTGAGTTTTCTGTAACAGTCCAAGTGAGCAGACTGAGGAGCTCCAGGTTGGGAGGAGACAGGTCCCTGTATGTGTGCAACATTTCCCCAGAGGAAAGACAGATATCTGAGGACTGGCAGCAGAAGGAGCCAGAATAGAGGCTTGAGAGCTGCACACAGAAAACAGCTCCTCCCTTCTCCTCCCTGCAGGACACAGAGATCATCAACACCGCCATCCTGACAGGCCGGACTGTGGCCATCCCTGTCAAAGTCATTGCCATCGAAGTGACCGGCCTCATCCTAGATGTCTCTGCCCTAGTGGAGTGCCAGTCTGACAATGAGGACATTATCAAGGTGGGCTTTCTGGACAGGGGGCTCTGGGCAGGAAGGCTTCAGGTCTTCAGAGGAGAAGAATTCCTAAGCTCTTCCAGATCACCCTGGAAGATGCCATGCACCTGCCCTGCTGTGGGCCAGAGCTGCCCCTTCTCTTCGCCATCCCAAGCAGCACTCCACTATCTCAAACAATTCAGTTCCACATTGGTAGACACACACACCCCCAACACACACACACATAAACACATACACACACACACACACACACACACACACACACACACATGCACAATGTTCCCTCTCCTAGCCCCCACATTCAAACCTGGTGGGCTGCCTGGCATGGTTGACCTCCACCCAGCAAGTCATTGTTGAGCACCATGTGTGACAGACTCAGACAAGGCAAGGGGCAGGTAGACTTGACCTGCAGGAGTCACAGAGGATTCTAAATGACCTTGCTGCAAATCTCAAAGGAACATGGGCTTCTTATGGAGGCTGCCAGCCTTCCAAATGGAACTCACAGCCTGCACATGGAATCCCCTGCCTTAGGTGGCAAAGGACTATTCCTGGTAGGGCTGCTCTCCCATTTCCCTCCATCCACCTCCAAAATGATTCAGGGATCTTCCAAGGGTTTGGAGTGGTCCAGGGGTCCATCTCCATGGATGAGGCACAGCCACAGCACCCCCTACCCCTGCAGAGACTTTAGGGTGTCATCAGCTCACTAGCCACATGGTAGACCACCCCCCCAAACTCAAGGCAGTGTCCCAAGGTGTGTTCTTACTGGAGCTCCCAGTGTGTGTGCACACACAAGATCCACTCCAGGTGTGTCAGGAATGTGCATGAGCACCCTCAACAGACTCAGCCATCTGCACCTGCCCTGAAACCCTAGCAGTGACCCCTGAGATGGAGGGAGTACTGCTCTCCACTAGCATGTGTCCTGAAGGCGTGTGCTCTATCAAGGAGCCTCTAACCATGCGAGGACCAGCCAGGTGGGCACACATTTGCAAAAGCCATACATATTGGTGGCCACCATCCACCTGTTTGTGCTTGGACTTCTCTGATCCTGAGTTTTCCTCAGCCCATTCCCTTTCCCCCACTTCTGCCAGGAGCAGCCCTTCATCTGAAACTGACCAGCTGCCCACTCACCTAGCAATCCATGCTACAACGCTATGGCAGAGGCAGAGACCTGTTCCCTACTCCAGCCCTTCTATTCCACCAGGCCTGGTCCTGTGGGGTAAAGGACTCCACCTGCCACCTGACAGGCACCTGGCACCAGAGTCCTAGGCATGCTAGAGTAGAGGTCAGCCTTGGGAGGCCCCTTTCCTAAAGCCACTGCAGCAGACTTGATTGTAGCAAGATGGAAACAGCCCCAGTAAAACACCTGTCGTTAGTTCCTTTTCATAGATGGAGGGGATAGTCCCTGCAGAAACAGAAGCAGGAACAGGCTGACACTCCTAGGAGACAGGGCCTTCCATGGCCTTGCTGCCTCCCACAGCTCTCTCCAGCAGCCTTTCTGACCCTGTGGTCAGACCCAAGTCCCTGCTCTGCTCAAGTCCCCAAGCCATGCCCATGCTGTTTGCTCCTCCCTTTCCCCAGGTGTCCAGCAGCTGCGACTATGTGTTTGTGAGTGGAAAAGAGTCTCGAGGGTCCATGAACGCCAGGGTCACCTTCCGCTACGACGTGCTCAGTACTCCCCTGGAAATGACAGTCTGGGTTCCCAAGCTGCCTTTGCACATAGAGCTCTCCGATGCTCGCCTCAGCCAAGTGAAGGGATGGAGGGTGCCCATCCTTCCCGACCGGAGGTACAGTCCCAGCACGCAGCATGGACTTGGGATAGCAGTTTGATCTGCATGTGTGTAAGGCCCCTGGAGTCTGAAGGCAGTGATGCAATCAGCATGTTTTACTGAGCACATACTGTGTGCTAGGCACTGGTGGGTGTTTGAGGTGGGGCGTGAGTGTGGCCGGCCAGGCTCTCAATCTAGCAGGGCAGACAGGCATGCACACATTACAAGGTACAGTGGGAAGGTCTGGACTAGAAATCAAGAGGCATGAAGGAGAGAACCCCTTTCTCTCCAGAAATCAAGGCAGGCTTCCTGGAAAAGCTTATTCATGAGCTAAGTCTTTCATTTGCTTTTTGTTGTTTTTTGAGACAGAGCCTCCCTCTCGCCCCAGCTGGTCTGGAACTCACTACATAGACCAATCTGGCCTCAGTCTCACAGAGATCTGCCTGCCTCTGCCTCTCAAGTGCTGAGATTAAAGGTGTGTACCACCATCCCTTGCATGAGATAAGCCTTAAAGGACAAGTGCAAAGTGGTCGGCTGATGACCCACAGGCCACAGCCTGGGCACATCCTCACACACAACAGCAGCACACTGGCCCTAGCTGGGCACAGTTTCACACAGCAGGACACACGGTGCCCATGGACCCTGGCCAGGTATACACTCCCATAGCAGCAGCACCAGCAGCAGCATGCACAGTGTACCCACAGGCCCTGACTGGGCACAGAGGACAGACTCCTGAGCCCATGTGCACAGATATACCATGATGCATCCCCAAGTTCCCTGACTGAGTTGAAGTTTCCCACACCTGAGTGTCTGCCTGTAAGGCATGTCATGTATACTTACCACACTCTACCCACCCACTCAGCTCCACAAGTAGAGCCCAGCAGAGAAAAAAAGCAGGGCTGTGGTGGGCAGTCAGGGCTGTAGTAGGCATCCAGGGCTGTGGTGGGCAGCCAAGGCTGTGGTGAGCAGCCAGAGTTGTGGTAGGCATCCAGGGCCCTGGTGGGCAGCCAGGGCTGTGGTGGGCATCCAGAGCTGTGGTGGGCAGTTAGGACTGTGGTGGGTAGCCAGGGCTGTGGTGGGCATCCAGAGCTGCAGTTAGGACTGTGGTGGGCAGACAGGGCTGTGGTGGGCAGTTAGGACTATGGAGAGAAGCAGGGAGGGAAGGGAGACCTGGACTGAGTTTAGTGTAGGGAAGACTTGAAGCAGGAACTGAAGCGCAAAGCAGAGCCCCTTCAGCTTGATTGCGCCCACTGATCACTAACTAGGCTTTTGTTAGACTTTGTCATTTTCAGGCTACTTATTCAACCTCTCTATACCTCATTATTCTCATCTGTAAAATGGGCAAGATAATACCTCACAGGATTGTGTTTAAGATTAAATTAGTTGATAAAGGTAAAAGAGAATTCATGTGAAAGAATATTCTGCTTGGTTGCTTCTAAGACAGTACTAGCAAGATTTTCCCCTAGAGTACACCTTCCTGGAAGGGAATCTCCAGATTTTAGCATGTTTTTCCAATTTGCATTGCCTAAATATTTCCAAATTCGCTCGATACCCCAAATTTTCTCTTGTTGCATTTCGCTAAAATCAGAACAAGGGGAGTAAAGATGTAAGTCATTTGATAGAGTACTTACCTGTTGGGAAACCCTGCTGTTAGGGTTGTAGTCCTCCATGTCCAGATAGCTCTAAGGGGCTCGGCGCCAAATGGAAGGACTCCCCTTTTCAGCAGGTCAGCAGGAGCTTCCTGCCTGATTTACCTGGAAAGTGCCACCAAGCACGGATGCCTGACCTTATTTGGAACATGACCTTTGGCATAGTTACCTAGAGTAAAAACTACTCCCAGGTTTTTTCTATATGATAATCAGGCATTGCCTGGTAGTCGGAGGATAGGAGCCCCTGCCACATGTAAATAAAGCATACTATGAGCACCTATCAGCTGAGGCTTTGGCTACTGCCCCCACAATATATTTTCCCCAGTTCTCCCACCGAATAGATGGAGCTGTTTCACTGAATCTAGAGCTGTCTCATTGAGTCTGGAGCTGTTTGCATCGTTGAACCTGCCTCCCGGGAAGGGCTTTCTTCCGTCAGTGCTCACTGGCCGTCCTGACCCCGCTCGTCGCTTCTGCTCCCCTTGTCCTCGTGGACCAGTGGCCAACGACCCGCGAGGAGAGGGAGAGACCCCCACACTTACTTAGCATGCAAGAAGCCCTGGGTTCAATCCCTAATACCACAGAAAACCAGGCATGCTGGTTCATACCTGCAATCCTAGCAGTCAGGAGATGGAGGCAGAAGGATCAGAAAGTTTAAGGGAGAGCTAGCCTGAGTTGGAGACCTTGTCTTTTAAAAAAATAAATAAATAAATAAATAAATAAATAAATAAATAAATAAATAAGTAGCAAGAGGAAACCAGGCTGTACCTTAATAAATAAATAAATAAGTAGCAAGAGGAAACCAGGCTGTACCTTCTACACCTTACTTGGAAATCTCAGCTGATCCTGAGGATTCATCACTTATGATTTATGCTTTCCACTCAGCCGTAGGGCACATCAGCTGAGCTTGCTGGCGTCCATTACAAGGATTCCGTCTTGGGGCAGTTTGAGGCTCAGCACAGTGCCAGGCCCATGCTCAATGCTGAAAAAGAGGCAAAGGTTACTGTTAGGATTGGATGCCAGCTGTTTGCAGGCATGGGTTAGGAAAGTGAAAGAAGGAACCTCTCCAGGAGAGAGAGGCTGGGATACCTGGCTCCATATGCACCTCTATGCAATGCAGGGCAAGAGCCAAGGAGGGCATGTGCCAGAGGCCAGAGAGGAACTGCAAGGCAAGGGCAAGGGGAGAGACGTGCGAGTTAGAAAGCCAGGTTGAAGCGCTCAGCCCTGACCTTGATGCTTCCCCACCTAGGTCAGCCCGAGAGAGTGAGGACGAGGAGGAAGAGGAGGAAGAGCGGAGGCAGAGTGCCAGCCGAGGCTGTGCCCTGCAGTACCAACATGCCACCCTGCAGGTCTTCACCCAGTTTCACACGACATCATCTGAGGGCACCGACCAGGTTGTCACTATGCTGGGCCCCGACTGGCTGGTGGAAGTCACCGACCTGGTCAGTGACTTCATGCGGGTTGGTGACCCCCGAGTGGCACACATGGTGGACAGCAGCACACTGGCAGGCCTGGAGCCAGGCACCACCCCCTTTAAGGTAGGAAAGGGCTCCATCCAAGTACAAAAAGGTGGGAGTGGGAACTTGGGTTGCCTGTGAGTGGAGAGCTCAGGTGTGCCAGGATCTTGGCTTTAGGAAGCCACCCCAGGGACCCCCAGCATACACTTTCTTCCCTCTGTCTGAGGTCCCACATTCCAAGGTCAAACTCTTTTCACTTCTTGATAAAGTTCACCTTGAAGCTTCATCAGTCTTCAGAGCCCTCCTGGAGGGAGGCTAGAGCAGGACCTCAGAGAACATGTGTGGAGAGAAGAGGGGTGACTGGTAGAAATCATCCACTTATGAGTTTATAAGTGAAGACGTATTTCATTTATAAAACATTTGATCCAGCATCTCAAAATTGAGAAGCTTCTCGTTTTTAAAACAATCCAGATTTCTGGTTAAAAAAAAAAAAATATTGGGCTGGAGAGATAGCTCAGGGGTTAAGAGCACTGGTTGCTCTTATACAGGACCTAGGTTCAAATCCCAGTACCTCACAAAGGCTAACAACTGCCTGTAACTCCAGTTCCAGCAGATCTGACACCCTCTCCTGGCCTCCTTGGGCACCCCACAACATAGGTGCACTTACATACATGCAGGTATAACATTCATACACATAAAATAAATAAAAGTTTTTAAAAATTCTAGTAACACTGGGCCCGTATTCCCACCTGGCAGCAGTCCTCTGAGGCAGATGTGGATGGCCCCTTTGCTTAAATTCTTGCTTAAAGTCTTCTGTCCCCACCATGCCCTGCTGTCTCCCTGACCCCGAGTTCCAGCACTAGTTACTGTTTATCACTATCCAGAAGTGTTTTCCTAAGATCAGTTCACCTTTCTCTAACATCTGCATTCCTGCCTGGGCCCTGACCCTCTCCCTGGCTCCCGTGTGCAGACCTGTGGCAGAGGCTAGGAGTTCTGCCCACACCAGCCAGTATTCCAGCCCTCTTTCCAACAGTGCTGAGTGTTCCCCTTGGGTGGGGATCCTGAGCAAGACAGCTACTTCTCAGTTTTTTCCTACTGCCTGTTCTCTTAGGTGGTATCCCCCCTGACAGAGGCTGTGCTGGGGGAGACACTACTGACAGTGACAGAGGAGAAAGTCAGCATCACACAGCTGCAGGCCCAGGTGGTGGCCAGCCTCACCTTGTCCCTGCGACCCAGTCCTGGGAGCAGTCACACCATCCTGGCTACCACAGCTGTACAACCCACACTCAGCTTTGTCAAGCAGGTAACTAGTTCCCTAACCCACGGTCTGAGGACTCTTCTTCACTGGGGCCATTAATCCTCAGACTAGGACTTTAGGTAAACAGGGAACTCAGCATTCCATCACCCAGCCCTTCACAGGGCTAAGGATCTGCTCCTGAATTCTCAGAGGGCTATTACCTCTGCCACCCTCCAAACCCATCTCTGGAGCCCCACTTACTGTAGCACAGGTACTGACTGAACAGTAGTGGAAAGGTGATTGTATCAGGCCATAGGGATCCTGTGTTCTTACCTCTGTGATCCCAGGTCCCTTACCTCTCTAGGCTGGACTGCAGGGAGGGTGGGGAGAAGGCTGGAGGAGGAGAGGGATGGGTAGGTGTGCATTCTCATTAGGTAAGGGTCTGAGTGGGGGTTCCCAGTGTCAGGCATAGAGATGTGGGGCTACCTTTGCAACTGAATAGATGAGCTAAACCCAAGGGGAATTTACCTTTTGGTCAAGAGAAGAGGAGCCATCCTCAGGATAGTGTGTTAGACTTAGAAGTCATATCCTGTGTTCACCTTCCTCACAGTGCAAGGGATTGGGTCCTGAGTCCCACCTATCACAAGCCAGAATACTTGTGTTGCTAGGAACCCATTAGGAGGCAGAGGCTGGTGGCCCTGACCCTGGCAGAGCTGAGACCAAACAGAAGATGGTGGGATAGGCCATCTGACTCCTGGCCCCTCTCCTCTTCCAGGAAGCCCTGCTGAGTCTCTGGCTCTCCTACAGTGATGGCACTACAGCCCCACTCTCCCTGTACAGTCCCCGAGACTACGGGCTGCTAGTGAGCAGCCTGGATGAGCGGGTGGCCACTGTGACCCAGGACAAGGCCTTCCCCTCCGTGGTGGCAGAGGCTGAGGGGGCAGGCGAGCTGCTCAGGGCTGAGCTCAGCATTGCAGAAAGCTGCCAGAAAACCAAGCGCAAGAGTGTGCTGGCCACCACCCCAGTGGGCCTGCGAGTACACTTCCGACGGGAGGAGGAGGACCCCACTTACGACTATCCAGGGCCCAGCCAGCCAGGGCCTGGCGGGGGCGAGGACGAGGCCCGCGGAGCTGGCCCACCAGGCACGGCCATCCCTGCAGGGGAGGCCCCCGAGTCAGGCACCTCCGGCCCAGTGCCACCCACAGAGGACTTCTTGCCACTGCCCACTGGCTTCCTGCAGATGCCCCGGGGGCTGACGGACCTAGAGATAGGCATGTATGCACTGCTGGGGGTCTTCTGCCTGGCCATCCTCGTCTTCCTCATCAACTGCATAGTGTTTGTGCTGCGCTACCGGCACAAGCGCATCCCACCCGAGGGCCAGACCAGCATGGACCACTCTCACCACTGGGTGTTCCTGGGCAATGGGCAGCCACTGCGAGTGCAGGGCGAGCTGTCCCCACCAACAGGGAACGCGCTGGAAACCGTGCCTGCCTGCTGCCATGGTGATCACCACAGCAGCGGCAGCTCGCAGACCAGTGTCCAGAGCCAGGTGCACGGCCGCGGGGATGGCTCCTCAGGTGGCTCTGCCCGGGACCAGACCGAGGACCCTGCTAGCTCACCCACCTCCAAGCGCAAGAGGGTCAAGTTCACAACCTTCACCACACTGCCCTCGGAAGAGCTGGCCTATGACTCCGTGCCTGCTGGTGAAGAGGATGAGGAGGACGAAGAGGACCTGGGTTGGGGTTGCCCGGATGTGACTGGCACCACACGGCCCACCCGGCCCCCAGACCTGCACAATTACAAGGGCAGAATGAAAGAGATTGCATAATGGTGCCCTGGGGTGGTGAGGATGCCCCCCTCCCCATGCAGTGGCCTCTGGCTCGGGGTCAGCTTGGACCCCCCAGCTCACAGGGACATGGGGGGGCTGAATGGATTTTATAGCCCCTGCCCCTGCAGCTTTGCTCTGGCCAGGTGGCAGCCTCCCTGGTCTGACCCTTCCTGCCCTACCCCTACCCTCTCCTGCCCTCTGCAGGTGGAAGGCTCCTTCTTACCCCAGCAAGAAGGAAGAAGGCAGCTCCCTCCTGGCTCCATCCTTTCTGAACCTAGACCCATCTTAGACAATCCCACTGCCCCAAGAATGAGACTCTGAAGCCAAGCTTGGGGTCCAAGTGGGCCCACACTGTACCCCCTATGGTCCTCCTGAGCAGGAGAATAGGGGGTCTTGTGTCACAGGCTGCACAAAGACTTTTCTCAAACCAATATTCAGGGATTTCTGTCCTGCAGGGTGGGAAGTGATGACTGCCTGCCTTGTCAAGGATCTTGCTGCGGACAAAACATTTGGGTGTTGAGGAATAATTGTGATGTCTGTTAGCTTCCAGTTGTCTCTCAAGCCTAGAGCTGACTGCAGAGGGTCCAGTGTGATGTGGGCACCTACCTGGGGTCTCCCTGGGACTCCCTCTGCCCTATAGCCTGCAGGAGGGCCCATGTGGGAGGGGTTCTCACCTCCCAAGCCAAACCACACCCACCGCAGCTAAAGCAGTGGGTTCTGTGCAGCCTGCCCCAACAGCACGGTCAACACTACTGCGCCTTAGTCTGGGCTCTACTCACTTCTGCTTCCCTCCACATCACAGGGAAGGCAGCCACTGCCAGTATCTCTGGGATGGAGGGGGCCACAGGAGTTAGTGCAAGGGGCCATGGGGTGGGTGAAGGCAGAAGGGAGCCTGTGCCCCTTCCCCATCCAATGGCCACGCCTCTTGGGTTCTACCCACCACTGTGTCAGTTTTTCATAAATAAATGGAAGGCATCAGCCTGGGGGTGGGGGCAGCAGCTCCCTATGAACAGACAGTATACAGAGGCTGGCTGTGTCTCATCCTTGTACACACACCACAGGACCTGAGGTCACACTGGCTACCTGAGGCTGCCAGCCTGCTCTCTCCCCTTTGTGAGTCCTGTGAGACCCATGAGTGCCATGGAGACACTCATATCATGAAACAGAAGATCTGCCACGGAAAGGTGGCCTTCGAAGAGGGATCTTCTCCAGGAGTCTGCAGTAGTTGGCTCAGAAGGGAGGGGAGGGCCTCGAGACCTGGCTCCAGAGAGAGGTCTTATGGATGGAAGGGCACAGAAAGCAAGCAGGACCCTAGTTTTTCTTGCCCGTAGGGCAGATGAGAAAGTCCTTTTGGGTGTGACTCTCTCCTCAAACGGGCTCCAGCCCTTCCTGACCTGAAACTGTGCACAGGGCCTCCGAAGGCCCTGGGAGACTACATTCCAGCACAGACGGGACGCTGCAACTCAGAGCAACCTGGCAGTGTAGCTAGCCAGCACATAGGTAGGGCTGTTCACCATCACTGCAGACCTGGCGTGCTCTGTATAGTGCCTGCTCTAGCCAGTGAACCTAATAGAGACCACAGCCCCAGAGAGTCTCAGTTTCCAGAACCAGAGTCCAGCTTCCAGGGAAAGCATGGGAGACATAAACTGGCATTCCACTCAGGATGTGTTTGGCAGCAGAGCTGAGCAGCAATGGGGCCATCCAGAAACTCGAGGGAGGCACTGGGAAGCTGTGCACAGAGCAGGGCTCTATGGCTCACATCAGGGTTCCTCTTCAAATCCAAGAGCACAGATACCTGCTGTGCCAGTCAGCCCTGACCTGTGGAGGACTCTGGAGAGGGTGGGGTCTCAGTGACTTTCCTTAACTCCTAGTGCCTAACAGAGCTGGAATTGGCAGGTCCTCAGCAAGCGTTTGCTGAGTAAGTTCAAATGCAGACTCTGGGCAACAGTTCATCATGCTGTGTTTTTGTTTGTTTGTTTGTTTGTTTGTTTGTTTGTTTGTTTGTTTTAGTACTAGAGACTGAACTCGGGGGCATGTGCTAGGCAAGTGCTGTACCACTGAGCCAGTCCCCCCACCCAGTACTCTTTTTACTTTTTTTTTTAATCTGGGGCTCGGGGTTTGTTTTGATTTGGTTTTGTTGGGGAGGAAATTCTTTTGTTTTTTGTTTTGAAATAGGGTCCCAAAGTACTAAGTTGCCCAGGCTGGCCTCAAACTCACTCTGTAGTCCAAGCAGGTCTTTGAACTTGTAATCCTCCTGCTTCAGCCTCCTGAGTAGCTGGGATTATAGGCCTGCATCACCATGCCCAGTCTAGGATTTTCTGTACACTTTATTAGTGCAGAAGAATTCTAATATCCAGAGATTCTCCTCCAGATTCACAGGGAAAGGATGAAAGCCCAGGTGCAGCTCCAGAAAGAATATCCCAGGTGACAAAAGAAAAATCACTGGTGTTGAACTTGACCCATGGAGCCATTTGTTATTTAACACACCAATTTCCTACTGTGTGCAGGAGTCTGAGCAGTAATGTAGGTCAGTCTTCAAGATGCCCCAGCCCCACAACTCAGCTGTTCACTGCCACTTGGGCCATAGCGCTTGGGATGACCCTAGAGCTTTGCCTTAAGTTGACAAAGAAGGGAGGGAGGTAAAGGCAGAGAACACTAAAGGACAGTCTCAGAAGACAGTGGGCGTGGAGGCCAAGGCTGCTGCCCAGCTCTGTGCCTATTTGTGCTGTCATGGGTCTACACCTGCCGGCCCTATGCCTGGACCATGAGACCCTGCTGACAAGGAAACAGGAAAAGCTTACACACAAGGCAGGGTGGGGAGGAAGAGGCAGAAAGAGTGCTGCAGAGTCAGCTTGGGTTTGGAGATCAGGCTCTAATGTCTCACTCTGCCTGGGGAGAGGAAGGCTGACAAGATGAGGGACCTGTGAGCTGCAGCAGACGGGATGCAGCCCAGGGTCAGGCAGGAAGAACAGCACTGGTGCATACAGCGGTGTATACAGAGGCAGGACTTCCCGGCTGCTTTATCCCATGCAGAGATGTTGAGAGTTCAAGCAGGAAAATGCTCTGTGAGAATGAGGCAGGACATTAAGTTTAACAATCCCCCCTGGAATGACCCTGGCACTAAACTCCACCTTAAACTCAACTCCCAAAATGAATCAAGGGACCTTGTAAAGAATAGTTATTGGCAGAGGGCTACTCGAAGAGCACTGGGAAGCCAGGTGCATGAATCAGCTCACTAGCAAAAATGAGATTTTTTTTTCAGACAGCCAGGGGGAGGCAGAGCAGAGAACTGCCTCAACTGGTCCTCTCACAGAACCTACTCCATCCCCGCCATACATCCCTCACACCCCAGCAACAGACTCTGCCATACCTGTCTCAATTAAACACTTATAGAAAGTTCTGGAAACAGGGAGTCAAATGGAAAACAAACACAATAAATGGAGCAAAGGTAAAACTCTTGTTTAAAGAGACCAAACTCCCCAAGGCAGGATAGCAGAGGTTCCTGTGGTGTGACAGTACCTTCGCTATGTAACCTTTAAAGACAATGGGTCACCAGCTCTGAGCCCTCATTTCCTCATTTGTAAAAGCACAGAAATCATCCCTACCAGATAACATCCACTGTCCCTATGGAGGGACCCCTGGGTTAATATTTGAATTTCTACCAAGAGTATTGAGACATAGGGGTTTCCCAATGCTACAGTCATGGGTGAGGACTCAGATTCCATAGGCAAGAATTTGCTCAGGTCTCCAGCTCAGACATGACCCAATGAAAGCATGAACCGCCTCCCTCCCCTCTCTCCCTGGAGGCAACTAATGACACTGGCAAGTGTAGCAGATGAAGTGGGGGGGATTTTCTGCATGTGGGGGATGGGGTGGATTGCTAAGGACTCTAGGTGCTCATTGGTGGGGGCAAGGCCGCAGGACCCCACTCGAGACATGGGTGGAGGACAGTGTTTGGAGCCCTTTGAGGGATATGCTCTCTCCTCCCTGGGACCTCCAGCCCTAGCTGGCTCTCACAGCAGAAAACCATGCAACCCCCAGAGCAGAGAGCCCCAGGACTTTCCTGATCAGTTGCCCAACTGGGCTTGTTTGGGGAGCTGGTGGCACCACAGAGATGCCAGTGCAAGGAGCCAAGAAGGGGCCTGCACCTGGCCTTTCCCTGGGGACCCTGGGGCTAAGCAAGGGAAGTTGGAGCCATTCTCGGAAGACACCTCATCCTTGCTGCATTGACTCGGGGAGTGTTTACTAGACCTTGGCACATCTCCACATGGTATATGTATAGAGCAAGTGAGGATGTGAAGTCAGCACTAGCTTTTCCTGAGGGCTTACTACCTGCCCAGCACTTTAGAGCTGTGGTTTCATTGACTTCACAGCTACCATGCCAACTAAATACTGTTATTACACCCATTTTACAGATGGCCAGACTGAGGCCCAAAGAACTTACATCACTCCACCTTCCTGGGTAGAGACTGGGAACTCAAATCATTCTGACAGTGACGAGAGCCCCAGGCTGGAGTCCACGGGAGTGGTGGGAGTTCTTACTCAGCCATTGAAGGATTGTGTGGCTAGGAGCCTGGTCTAGCTTGGTGAACCAATGAGTTTATTGGGGTCACTTCTAGGAGCGTGGGTGGCTCAAAGGCAGCTGCATTCCTGAAAAGCCCCCATTGGCATGGGTAACAACTCTCAAAAGCTCCATCCCTGGAGCGCCCTGTACAACTTGCTTCTATAATCTTGGTGAGGGGCCTTGTGCAGCTCATAATATTTGAGTTTCCAGAGCCTCATAAGCCTCCCTTCAGGAGAGAATGTTCCCATTAGGTGGAAATGACTACACAGCCTATGCACACACTCTTCACATATGCATACATGCCTCACATGCACTCAGACACAGGCTCCTCACATGCACACATTTATGTGGACTGGTGTACTCCACTCATATCCTTAAGCACCCTCCTCACATTCACACATGCACACACGCCTCACATGCACAGGGGCACACCGGCACTTAGAGCCCCTTAACACCCATACAGTCCTAATCAGAGACAGCTGCTATTCTCCCACCTCATCAGTACAGAGCTGAGGATGGAAAGACAGGTCACGGGGTGGCCACCAGGGCTGTGAGAACAGGGGTGGAGTGGAGCCAGGCCACCCTTGAAGCTCCAATGTCCCCAGGTTTCCTCTGTGGACAGGAACTGAGGCTCATTTGCATAAATACCCTCTAGGGGCCCCTGTGTTTGCTGGGCTTGTGGAGGGTAGGTGTGGGCCAAGAACACATGCAGGCCATTCTTAAAGCAGCAAATAAAAGATCTCCCAGCATCCAGAAGACTGCCAATCACATGCAAGCCATCACTGAGTTTTACAAAGATTCTTTATCTGTTCATGACAGCAACTAGAGGACGCTCTATTTGGAAACACTGCAGTTAAAGGGACTGTGTTATTAACACTAATGAAATGTTTTGCTCAGGGCTGGTGCCTGGTGAGGTGGAACCTAGGACAGAAGCCTTCATTTAGGGTGCTGGCCCTTTGCAGAGCAGCCAGTAAGGCTTCTCAGAGAACAGGGTAACATATTGTGGGTGGACGGAGTCCTTGGTGAGGCTTGCAGAAGGTGGCATGGCTCAGTTGGCTCTGCCATGGAATAAGCCAAGCTGGTTTCTCCCTGAGCTTTGGGTCCCTGCCCATGGCATGGGGATAAAACACCATCTCAGAGGGTTCTCCTGGGAATTAAATGAGCCATTCACTGTGCCAGGATATCAGAGATCAGCTAAGCCCCCCAGATCACCTCACAAATGCAGACGATTATTTTATCATCTTTAAAAGAAAGATGAAATTCTAAAACAAGGTCACATAGAGGCCTGGTCTAGTTCTCTGTCTGATGCTACCAATGTTCTTCTGTTTGTTTTTCTTGGTATTTTGAGGCAGGACTTCCTTCTTGACCTTCATCATCTCTCAGGAAACTTGAACAATTTCTAGGAGACTGGAAATTCTAAAAGAAAGTTGTGGATAATTACTATGCAGAAGC